AATCATGTAAATTTGGATGATGATTCTAATGATTTAATGGAATTACCTTTTGGTTACTTTTCTCCTTGTGTATAAAAATTAATTCAACACGGTTAAGTGCAAAAGTAAATGCAAAAAGATAAGCTACAACTTTTTTGAAAAATTGTGGAATGTTAAAAGCCAAACTCCTAATTCAATACAAGGTATCAGATTTGGTACTGTAGGAGCAGTTGATGAGTTAGAATTTTGCATGGTTGCTACTAATGAATTAGAAGAGGACTGCCTCGATGTAGAGGATGACTCTCAAGAACAGTTAATAGATGATGCTCCACCAGAATTTGAAGAAGAGATTAAGTCAACTTTTGATGAGTTAAAAGAAATCAACCTTGGGACTAAGAAGTAGCCCCGACCAACCTTAATAAGTTCCTTACTCGGTGAGGAAGAATCCATAGAGCTGATAGGATTATTGTCGGAATTTAAAGATTGGTTTGCTTGGAGCTATGATGAAATACCAGGGCTGTCAGTAGAAGTTACAGTGGAAGTTGCAATTCATAAACTTGGGGTGGACAAAAATATGACCCCAGTAAAACAACCTCCCAGAAGAATGTGCCTCGAAATAGAGCAACAAGTCATTACTGAGGTTGAGAAATTAATAGACGCTAACTTTGTAAGAGAAGAACAATAACCCACATGGTTAACCAATATCGTGCCAGTTAAGAAGAAAATGGACAATTCCGTGTATGTGTCAATTGCAGGGATCTAAATAAGGCATGTCCAAAAGAAAAATTTCCACTGCCGATACCAGAGTTATTGGTGGACATCGCTTCGACACATGAGATTTTCTCCTTCATGGATGGATCTTCAGGTTACAACCAGATAAAGATGGATCTAGAAGATGCAGCACTTACAACTTTCTAAAAACCAATTGGGATTTTCTACTACACAGTGATGCCGATAGGATTAAAGAATGTTGGAGCAACATATCAGCGAGCAATGACGAAGATTTTTGACGACCTCATTCACAAACAAGTGGATTGCTAGGTAGATGATTTGGTCATCAAAAGTAAATAAAAATTAGACCATTTGAACGATTTGAGGATCATGTTCGAACGATTACGATAATATAATCTTAAGATGAATCCCTTAAAGTATGCGTTCACATTATCTCCGGGAAATTTTGAGGATTTGTTGTTCGTCATCGGGGGATTGAGATCAACCATGATAAGATTAAAGCTATTTTGGAAATTCCTCCTCCCAAAACTTTGAAACAACTACGTTCATTTCAAAAAAAAGTTGACATATTTGAGACGCTTTATTTCTAATCTCTCAGGTAGATGTCAGCCCTTCTTGACATTAATTAAAAAGGACGTCAAATTTGTTTGGGAAGAGAAATGCCAGTGGGCTTCAAAGACGTCAAGCAATACTTAATGACACCTCCTATTTTTGCAGCCCCTATCCCAGGTAAACCGTTGATATTTTATACTACGCCTTTAGAAGATTTTCTCAGAGCTCTATTAGCCCAAGTCAATGATGAGGGTAAGGATAATGTACTATACTACTTGAGTCGTCGTCTAATACCGACAAAGGTGAAGTATCCGCCTATCGAGAAGCATTGTCTAGCTTTAATTTTCACCACCCAAAAGCTTAGGCACTACATGCTTTCTCATAAGATTATCCTTATTTCAAAAGTTAATTCGCTGCAGTATTTGATGACCCTATCAATACTCTTTAGATGTCTAGCAAGATGGTCAATGATTTTACTACAATTTGATATAACTTTTGTTCCCCTCTGCACTATCAAGGGACATATTTTAGTAGATTTTTTCATTGCACACCCACTTCCAGCTGGGTCCCCACTCAATGATGAACTACCAAATCAGCAGATACTGCAAGCAGAACATTCCAGTCTCAGACATTGGGAGATGTATTTCGATGGAGCTTCTTCGACCATAAAAGATAAAAGATCAAAAATAGTTATACCAGGCAAAATAGGGATTAGTCTAATTTTTATCATGCTAGATAAAGGTATGTTGAGATTCTCCTATCACCTGACAGAGCCATGTACAAATAATGAAGCCGAATATGAAGCGTTAATCACCGTGTTGGAATTGGTAATCTCAATGGATATAACGGGTATAGCCATCTATGGTGACTCTCAACTTATCATTCAACAAGTTTCTCGACAATACAAGATTCTGAAACTAAGGTTAGCAAAATACCATCAGTATGCGATGAAGCTGTTAGATCAGATCCCTAATGTAACTATATACCACATTCCTCGGGGAGATAACGCACATGCCGACAGTTTAACAAAACTTGCTAAGGAGCTTGCATGTCCATTAGAGGATTCCATTGATAATACAGTACAAGGAAGATGAGTCTTGTCTCAAATCAACCTTGACAATCTGCACAAGCTTGAAAAAGAAGAAGGAATGATGATTGTAGTTGCTGACATCAATGAAGATTGGCGTAAACCATTAATAGAAGATTTGCAAATTGGAAAGTTGTCAAAGGACAAATATGAAGCATACCACATAACAAGAAGAGCTATGTCGTACGCTATGGTGGAATATTTTCTCTAAGGAGAGCCGGGGCACAAAATATTGTCAAAGAGGTACATGCCGGATTGTGTGGTGCTCACCAGTCAGGTCCAAAGATGAAGATGAAGATCAAAAGAGTCAGATATTATTGGTCAGCAATGATATTTGATTGTATGGATACAACTAGAAGGTGTCACCTTTGCCAAGTGTGTGGGATGGTCTTATACCAACCTCCAAATGTGCTACACCCAACTGTCACCTCGTAGACATTTGAGTGTTGTGGCATGAACATAATAGATCCGATAGACCCTCCATCCTCTAAGGGACATAGATTTATTCTTTCCGCTATGGATTACTTTTTTAAGTAGGGAGAGACAGTGCCATTACGAGAGGTTACAACACAACATGTTTTGCAATTCTTATGTAGTCTACCGTTTCAGAGTTCCACGCAGAGTAATTTTTGACAATGGGACAACCTTCAAGAGCACAGAGATCACAAATTTTGTTAGATGACATGGGATAGATTGGAGGTACTAAACAATTTACTATCCCAGAGAAAATGGCTTTGCTAAGGCTTTCAACAAAACACTAGTGCAGATCTTGAAAAGACACCGGATGAAAATAAAAAAAATTGACATAATAGACTACTAGAAGCTTTGTGGGCCTACTGGACGATCTATCAGATGACTTTCAGGACTCTCACTCAATGTACACCCTATGTGCTTGTGTACGGGTCAGGCCCAAGGTCGTATTACCGCTAGAAGTTCAGACACCGTCTCTTAGAGTCGTCGTCGCTAACCAAATCAAAACCAAAGAAAGTGCAAGACTCAGACTTGAAGAATTGGAAAGTCTCAAGGGAAAATGAGTAGAAGCACAACAATACTTCGAGCTCTACCAAGCAAGAATGTCGCAAACACATGACAAATTGGTCTGCCAGAGGGAATTTAAAGTCAGTGACCTCGTTCTCATTCTCAAAAGACCCATTATTACACACCATAAAATAGGTGAAAAATTTGAACCAACTTGAGAGGGACCATTTGTCATAGAAAAGGTCTATCCAGGAGGATCCTACAAGCTGGTGGATTTTCGGGGTGAAAAACCATGTTGCCGGTCAATGGCTGCTACTTGAAGATATATTACCCGACATGATGCCGCCTGAAATCAACATTTGCTTTTTGAAATTTTGATTATTCTAGGGTTATATTTTTGGCTAGACGTTTATGACTTGGTCCAAAATTTTATAATAAATTAACCTCAATAAAATAAAATAAAAATTTAAATTGCTCATTTTGTTTTTATGTTTCTAATTTATAAATCTAATTAAATAAAATAAAATTGAATAAATAAAATTTTCAAATTATCAAAGTTGTTGACACTTCATTTTTGTTCTTGTTCATGTTGGATATCAGTGCCCTGATGTTCTTATGTTTTCTGTAGAAGAAATGTCAGAACGTAAGCTGATGTTTTCCTTTAAAGATGGTTTAAATCTCGCACTAGATAAGGAAAGAGCTGCTTAGGGCGGCGTCATAGACCTCAATTTTGACTTTGGTCAGGTTGATGTAAATTATGAAGGTCCCCTGATGGACATTGTCAGCGAAGTATTCCCGTCTCTACTAAAAATTGGGGCTGAAGACGATTCCTCGCGGAAGAGAAAAGATGATCACTCAACAATACCCAATGGAAGGGACCAATCATCTACAGTCCCTAATAAATTCACCGACGGGGGATTTATTAGGTGTCGATGAAGGTAGAGTTCCTGACGCAGAGCCTTTCTATGGAGGAACGCAGCATCACAACGCCAACCGATGCAAACACAGAGCCTTTCTATGGAAGGAAAGGAGACAACAGAAAGAAGCAGCTAGATTACTTACCCCAAATCCTGAGGGGAGGATTTATGAACCACTTATGAAAGAAACCTCTTCCAGTCTACCAGGTACAGAGGATGAACTGGAGCCGGCCGCAGAGCCGATGCATAAAGAGATACCCAATAAGCCCTATAAGGGTTGTCCAATGTGTAATGTAGAGATGCCCATAGGAGCATCTACCAAACGAGCATTCTTATAATGTCCAGGATGCGATGTTCTACACTTGGATTGCTACAGTTCAGTGCAAGAATTCACAACCGCCAGAGTAGGAGGGCACGAGGCAGCACATACAAACGTTGAGTCACATATTCCACTACCTGCAGATACAGAGCAGACACTGGTCATTGAAGAGGTTGAGACAAGAAGGCCAACACTGCCTTGAAAATTTGATGACATTCCTACAGTTGAGATGGAGATAATGTGCAGAGTAAAGTGAAGAGAATTTGAATTCTATGAAGAGGTCCGAGGTGAATCGTCAATATATTGGAAGGCTTGGCGCTATATACTGGAGTTTTCTTAGAGAACAACGAGAAGAGGATTTTGGACTGTGTTTTTGATCTGTAAGCCAGAGGCCGAGCTGGTCTACTGAGGCCAAGACATATGCGGAACCGTGAAAATGGATGTGCAGGAAAGGTAGGATAACCATTCAATGTGGTTGTTTCTATAATTTCATTGAAGACAAACAAGGGAACCCCCTGGTATCTTAAGATATGATGAGGTGGATCCGATGCCTTATGTGATAAAGAGAATGGTTCAAAGATTAATCCAATGGAGTAAACTGTTGCCAGACTACATCTCAAATAGTTGCATCATCAATATTTATGATGAAGGGCGCTGCATTCCTCCCCATATTGACCATCATGATTTTGTTATACCCTTTTGCACAGTGGCTTTCATTAGCAAAAACAATATATTATTTGGAAAAGAGATTGATATCGTTGGTCATGGAGAATTTAGAGGGTCCTTTGAAATTCCGTTGCCACTGGAATCAGTGCTGGTCTTAGATGGGAATGGTGCTGATTTAGCTAAACGCTGCATCCCAGGAGTACGACATCCCGGAGTTTCCGTAACCTTCAGAAGAATGATGGATGATAAGATACCACGAGGGTTCCGTCCAAATTCTGAACTGGAAGAGTTGGAGCCATATGAGTTATGAGAGGGTAGCACCTCTAGGTACACGTGAAAGCAATTCTTATCCTGGAGCGTGTCTCAGTAGGTCAGCTTGATGAGGAGCTCATCACGCCGAAGATGATTAACAGGATACCTTTTTGTACCAAGTTTTGCGCAGCAAACATGATATATATACCGATATGTTCAATCCATGATATGTATTCAGTGTTTGATGATTCAGATATGTTCAACATGTTGTATTTTGATACTTCAGCATGTACTCAATTTGTAGCTCATTTTTGGAGCAGATTAATGAAATTTCTTTCAAGTTTCAACTTGTTTGTGAAATTTCCCTCTCTCTTATGTGATTGATGAACAAAGATACAAGCAAAGAATGATACAACGAAAGCTCGATATTAAAACTTCAAAAATCTTTTTGAAAATTAACCAAAACTAAAATATTTTGAAAATATGTTTTGATGATTAAATATGATAAAGACAATGATAAAATAAAATTTTAAATTTGTTGAGGTCGTTTCTCTTGAATTCGACATTACTTACTCTCTGCTTTCGCATCACAACTATCTTGTCCTGCACCAATCTCTTAACATTCCAGTAAAATTTCATGTTCTACATAAAATCTCCCAAAATCCCACAAATTTTTATCAAATCTTCACATGCCAACATCACAAGTTCTCTACACTATTTTTACATTGTGCTCGGGGTCAATACCTAGGTTTTGACTCTCATATATATTCTTTGGGATAGACGCAGACGTCCTATTCCCACCTTCACTCTTTGGGATAGACACAGACGACCTATTCCCATATATATTCTTTGGGTAGGCACAAACATCATATTCCCATCTGTTCTCTTTGGGATAGGCACAAACATCCTATTCCCATATATATTCTTTAGGATAGGAACAAACGTCCTAGTCCCATCTTTGCTCTTTGGGATAGGCACAGACGTTCTATTCCTATCTTTGCTCTTCAGGGTAGACAAAAATGTCCTACTCTAATATATATTCTTTGGGATAGACACAAACACTCTGTTCCCATCTTTGCTCTTTGGGATAGGCACAAACATCCTATTCCTATCATTGCTCTTCGGGGTAGGCACAAATGTCCTACTCCCATATATATTCTTTGAGATATGCACAGACACCCTATTCCCATCTTTGCTCTTTGGGATAGCCACAGACGTCCTATTCCTATCTTTGCTCTTCGGGGTAGGCACAAACGTCCTACTCTCATATATATTCTTTGGGATAGACACAAACATCTTATTCCTATCGTTGCTCTTCGGGGTAGGCACAAATGTCCTACTCCCATATATATTCTTTGAGATATGCACAGACACCCTATTCCCATCTTACTCTTTGCGATAGGTACAAACATCCTATTCCCATATATATTCTTTGAGATAGGCACAAACATCCTATTCCCATATTTACTCTTTGGGATAGTCACAGACGTCCTATTCCCATATATATTCTTTGGGATAGGCACCGACGTCCTGTTCCAATCTTTACTCTTTGGGATAGGCACAGACGTCCTATTCCCATATATATTCTTTGGGATATGCACAGACACCCTATTCCCATATTTACTCTTTGGGATAGGCACAAACGTCCTATTCCTATATATATTCTTTAGGATAGACACAGACATACTATTCCCATCTTTACTCTTTATCCTATTTCCAATCTTTACTCTTTGGGATAGGCTCAGACCTCCTATTCCCATATATATTCTTCGGATAGGCACAAACGTCCTATTTCCATCTTTGCTCTTTGGGATAGGCACAAACGTCCTATTCCTATCTTTGCTTTTTGGGGTAGGCACAAACTTCCTACTCCCATATATATTCTTTCGGATAGGCACAAACGCCCTATTCCCATCTTTACTCTTTAGGATAGACACAGATGTCATTTTCCCATTTTCAATTTTAGAGGAATAGGATGCAGACATCCGATTCGACAATGCTTTACAATGGTCCAAATATCTAACTTTGGGGTTGAGGGAATAAGCCCTTAGATTGATTCAAGGCATCCACTCCCATTCTTCGAGACCGGTTTAAGACCACCTTAAATGGAGTAAGGAATTTGATTCTTTTTCCAGGATTGATACCTAAATTTCAAATTCCCATTTTGGGGCCAACACCTGAATCTTAATTCTTATCCTTCAATGCACCTGAAACGTGATAATCTAAAACCCACCTTTTAATCCCCAGCAAGAATTCCAAATCCTCAATTTTGATCAAATGTTCACTTGCTAATTCCCCAGCGTAAACAATTCTTGTTCAATTCTACTCTTCGGTCTAGGTTTGTTGACTTAGAAATCTGTGTTGGTTTTGTTGATCTCGTCGGTCAACACTAATACGAGCGGTGTGCTTGCCCAACACACCACACATATTTGGGGTCCATTTGTTGACCTCTTTTTTGGTTGAGGTCTAGTTTTTCCTCTTTAGTAGCCTAGGATCTAGCCATAGGACTTACTTGTTGATTATTCCTAGAGGACTAGAAAAGGAACCCTCACCATTAGAAATTCCAAATTCTTATTTACTCAACTTGAAGTTCCACATGTTGGTCATAACCTCTGGCACTTAGTAGGTGGGGTCAGTATGGGGTAGCTCAAGGGGAGTCCCCCATTAGATGGTTATACCATAGGACTAATCCTATGTGATCTAGTTTTGGTGGGGCTAAATTGCACACACTACACTTTTTCACATACCTAAACCCTATGACCCCTTAGATTGGTCTCCTGACTCATTTTGGAAAGCTCATATGAATGACCCTATACCCCTAGTATTTGGCTAAGAGGGTTAGAACCAGCATATTGAGCATCCAAAATGTGTCCTCACATGACTCCTATTAGTTTGGTATGACTTCATGGCTTGTTGGCCCATTTCAGTCCAAAATCACCAAATTACCAAAATGCCTCAATAACCCTAATTTTTGCCAAAAATCCCAAAATTATCCAAAATACTCAAATATTTCCAAAAAATCATCTAAAACCCCTCACCACTACCTAAATTGACAAAAATTCACCAAAATTATCAAATTTTCAAAATATCCCAAAAAATTGCCAAAATTACCAAAATGCCATTCATGAACTAAAAATTCCAAAAATTCCAAAATCATCCCAAATATTCTCAATTTCAAATTTTTATCATCAATTGATACAATTTGACCAAATTAGTCCAATTTGACCAAAAGCCCCAAATTTCCCCTAAAGTCCCAAAGGTTCCCAAATTAACCTTAATCTTAGCCCAATTGACCCCAATCTTGCCCAATTTCAATTCCAAATCAAAATACAACATCTCCAATCCTAATTTAAATAAAATTCAAACCCAATTTGATCCAATTGCAAGCTCAATTTCATTCAAATCAAAAAGGCCTAATTTTGACTATATGCCCAAATCCACTAATTTGGCCTATCAATTTAACTCAAAACCACTTGAAATTTTGCCAAATACTTCATGAAATTATCCTACACAAAAATCAATATTCAATAAGCCCAAATTTTATCCAAAAATCAATTTTCATTTTAAAAGCCCAAGCCCACCACATTTAATTTCAAAAACCCAAATCTAAAGCCTACATGACAATTCTTTCTCATCATCATCCATTTGATTAAAATCATTCCTAAAGTCATAAATTCAAAATCAAATCATTTCAAATCAAGAATAAATACAAAATTCACCAAAAATACCAAATAAATCCAAAATCCCTTCTCATGAAAATTAGCCAAGCCAAAGGGGAGCCATGAAGCCACTCCCAAGCCATAGACAAGCCATAAGAGCCATGCCACATCATCAAACTTTTAATGGAAAGAGGCCAAATCACTTTCAAGTTTCCTTAAAAAAGTTTTTAACCCTTTTAATGAATCTTCTTAAACTCATACTTAACCAAATCACTTGGATGGGGACTTCTCCGCACCAATTTAGCTGAACTATCTTATCCTCTTCTGCTCAAGAACAACCTTGGTGGATGAACCCAACCAAAACTATGCCTCAACCCAATTTGACCCAAAATGGCCCTTTCTCCATACTATTTCAATCCCATTCATTTACACATGACCAACCCCAATTGACTTCACCAAAACCAAGCCCTGACCTTCCTGGACTGGATGGTGACCTTAGCCTGGCCGGTCGACCACCTAGGCTGCCAGAAAACCCAAATCCAAAAGCTCCACCTAGGCTAAAACTCAAAATTAAACCCATCCAAGATGTCTCATCCCAATTGGTTTTTGCACCTTGTTGGCATCCACATAAGCAACCTAGGGCACCCACCAATTGTCCCTGGTGGCCTCTCCTTCCCCCTCTATTTAAATCCACCCTCCGTGGACAAAGAGTGATAGCTTGAAATTCCTTGGGGAGACTGTACCAAATTGCTTCCTGAGCTTTCTTAAGACCTCTTGAGTTCAAAACCCCTCTTGAGTCCCCCCCACCCATCCTTAGCCACTCAAATCCATTACTCGAGCTCAATTTTGAGCTCAATCCGTAGGTCAGAACCCTAGGCTGAAACATGACATCTCCAAATACTCAACCAAATTCAAATTAATTGCACCCACACCATCCCCACAGTGAAAGAGGAAGATCCCCCATAGAAGTAGAAGCCCATCACCAGAGCACTCTAGGGTGGACTTTGACCAACAACCAAAATCGGCCTTGGTCAAACTTGGGTGGAGGAGATTCACCACGACTAGTGGCTTCATGCTTGAGCTCTTGGGACCCTCACAAGGCTTCCACAAGCATCCAATCGAGGCTTCACCTCTTGGACCAAGGTATTGGAACTGAACCCTAAACCAAACTTCATTTTATTCTCCATGAGCATAAAGTTCATTTAGGGTGCGATTAATCGTATGGATGTGCACGTCTCATCAAGGCGAGTCGATAGGAACAAACCTCACTTGATTTAGTTGAGAATTGAGGGAGATATTAGGGTTTAAAGGTGGGCGGTTCTCGAGTTTGAGGCTTTGTGGGTGATGACCCGCAGCCGTTGGATCACGCGTCTATTAAACGGAGAGCTCTGATTGCACC